CGAGTTGCAACCAGAGTCACGGAACGGATTAAGTTCGTATCCCGAGGTACCACTGTATTCTCCCCCAGAGGTGCGACGGGCCCCTACCCTCCCAGCTTTATGGAAAGGACTAAAGACCTGGCTCTGCCAGCTTGTGTGGGACGATAAGAGCTCTAATCAATCCTGGGGGTGGCTGGCGCCCTGATGACGCTCCCTGAGCTACTCACCAATTCCATCCATCCTTGGGATTTATTATTTATTTAAGACTGCTTTTATATTGTATTTTAATTGATTTTATCTTCTCTGTAAACTGCCCAGAGTCACTTTTTAACAAGATGGGCGGTGACAAATTTGATATATAAATAAATAATATAAATACATAAATAAGATGATGATGATGGGGTCTATCAAAAGAACAATATATTATGACAAATTTTCAGGCACAATTCTATTAAATAACATTTCTCTTTAACGTATGGAATTTTCTTATAAAGCCCCACACCATTCAGGCACTGGAAGAGGAAACATAATGAGAAGAAGATTGCTCCTCAAGATCTATTTTCAGCAACCAAGAGAGAGTTCCATGTAAATTTCTGCAACAAGGGACTTTTTCTCTTGGTGAAAGCAGAATTCCCCTGAATCTGAAGGCACTGCAAAACTAATGAAAAATTAAAAGCATAAGAATAAGTCAGTGTGCCTTGAGTTATAGTATCATTTAATTAAATTAAAACCTTGCATTTCCTGGATATTCAGACATGTACAAGTAGTAATCTTAATATATATGAGACTGGGGTTATTGCACCCTTCTCCCCCCCCCCTTTTTTTTTAAATCAATGTTGAGTCTTAAAGCACGTAGAGGGTTTTTTTTTCGTCTTTGCACGCTTGTTTAGATTTGACAACTTTATTTGAGTGGGTTTCAGCACCCTGGAGAAGACTCTGCATTATAGTAAAATAAATACAGAGCTTTAATGAAACATCATGTTCTCCTATTATATAAGGAAGCTAATGAATTGAAATATTTACCTTCATCCAGAAAAACAGGATGGATCGATATGATTAAACACAGCTTGACACATTAAATTAAGAGCACTGCTTCTTACTTCCTCGATCTCCTTCAGCTTAATACTTCACAGAGAGATAAGGAGAGAGAGAGAGACAGAGAGACTTTAGAAGAAACTTTGCTTTTATCTGTTCTTAGGTAGATTTGTCTGTTCTTTTTGGCAAGGTTGGTCTGTATAATGAAATGCATCCAGTCTTCATGAATCTATCCTGGCTGTCTCATAAGGCCATATAGCAATCCAGAGCAAAGGTGCCTTTGTAAAACTCAGAGCATCCTGTATATTTTAGGTATTATCTCCTTCTTAGACATAATGAATGGAAGAGGTACCCACTGGAAACCTATTATTGCATGACATCTGGATGGAATTTGGCCAAAAGTGTAGACTGTTTAATACCCCCCAAACTTGAGAGGCAGGGGAAGAAACCATGGTTGGAAGGAACTGATGAGGTTCTCAAAAAGAAAGAGATGAGATGTTTAAACAGCCAACGGCAAGATACGAAGTTGTTTATGGACATCTTGGAAGCTAGGATGATTTGCAAAGACCAAAAGGTGTAGAAAAATATACTGTAGTGAATGTTAATTAGAGTTCCTTTTTCTTGTGTCTTTAATTATCTTCAGTGACTATATTCCCCTCTTTTTCTGTGTTTTACAAATAAAAGGGAATATCATGATCGAAGTCAGATGTAACTAAGATTCTTGGGATAGAGTATGCTGTGTACTCAACACATTAGTTGCTGTGTTTCAGTAGAGTTCGTAGAGAACCCGCACATGTTGGTTCCCACGTGGCCAGGAACTTTAAGGCAGCTGATACTCAAAAATCCAGAGATTGCACATCAGAAAGGCATAGCCTGAGACCCAGGGCTATGTGCAACTCACAACATTCTGCCTAAATTGCTACCAAACCAAGTATAATTTTAATGGATTCAAAGGAGAAAATTATATGTATGACCAGAGAGTACTCATGGCATTTACATTTAATTTTAATTTAAATATAAATGAAAGCAAAGCAAATTTAGTTTTAATCTGCCTTGTCCATTCATTTTTGGAGTATGGTCCCTGGGATGGGGCTTAGCCAAATGTAGTCCTCCGCTTAGGAGAATTTCACACACACCATCATGCACAGTTCAACCCAAAAAAGTTAGCTTATAAAAGCATGTGCCAGAGTAATATTTTAGAAAGTTATGAGAAAGTCTGCAGCATCTACAGCTAATCATGCTGAGCACTTATATTGCTATACTGTACGTTTTATGATTGCATATTACCTAAAGTAAAAGAAGGATCTTAACACCTTAATAATACTCCAATTAACAATTTGGTATTAAGTGGGGGCTTTCCCCAGTTTAAGGCTGCAGGGTAAGCCCTTCCAAACTTGAGCAGGATATATGAATCATGGGATCAACAGTTATACGGTAGTTCCTTTCTTCCCTTGATGAGGTATTCTTTTACATAACATAAAAGAAAATTCATCAAGGTTGGAAGCTGTTCATGAAGGCTGCTATCAATAAAATAGGTTTGGAGATTTTTGCTAATTACTTTTTCCCTCCCAGTGATATGCTGCCCGTTGTGTAGGATTCTCCTCTGATCCATCCTTACATTTCCTTGTTAACTAACAGTTTAGATATTACCATATTCTTTTCCACTCTCTTGTTTCTCTAGAGGAGATCCTGAAGACCCATATTGCCCACTGGTGGTCCCCTGATGGCACAAGATTAGCATATGCAACTATTAACGACTCCAGAGTCCCATTAATGGAGATACCCATGTTCACTGGAAGCCTTTACCCTAAAGTGGAAACCTATCACTACCCTAAGGTAGGATGGATTTGACTGTTCATCTAACACTCAAGATTTGGTTACTTTTACTTAGGAAATATAATTCAGAGTTAACTGAGTGCAATTAGAAAAGCAAATTTATTTCTGAATGGATACTTTAACTGCAGCCTTAAGCACTTCAGGGTCATATTATAGAATCACAATTTCTTATACGGGTAGTCCTCACTTAGCTACCACAATTGGGACCAGCAACTCAGTCGTTAAGCGACGTGGTTGCTAAGTGAAACCAGGACTGTGCTTCTGATCTTACTTTAGGTTTCCATTGCTTTACAGACCTGCAAAGGTTGTGAATGTAAGGATTGGTCGCCAAGTTATTTTATCATCACTGTCATACCTGCAAACAGTCACTAAATGGGGCAGTTGTTAAATGAGGACTACCTGTACTTAGATTGCTTTCCCAGGAAAGCTCTTGTCAGAGGCTTCAGGCTGACCAGAGGGTCAGTGGGGTTGGGATGGGAAATAGGGCATTTTATGTGGAGTTGTGGCTTATGGACTATTCCCACTCTCAACACAAATCACTCAATGGCGACTCTCTATCCTTATTGTCATGCTGTCTTCCTCTTACCTTCTAGGTTGGGACAGAAAATCCAAGCATTTCCTTACATGCAGTTGTTTTGAATGGGCCTCCTCATGTTTTAGAGATGACTCCTCCTGATGATCCACGAATGAGGTTTGTATGGTATTACCTTAAAGGAAGGATGAGAGTGTGAGATGGACTCTGGTATATAATTCAGTCACCCTTTATCCTTCCATTTTCTAATTCTATTCTTTCTTCACTTCTCTATCCCTCTTTTGGGAGCTGGTGGCATCTTGGATCTCAGAGAGGCTTGTCTAATTGGCCTGGCACAGATTTATGTCTGCTGGGGACAGGATTTGAAATAATAGTAATGACAGCATCAGAATGAAGGCTCACCTCTATGAAACCCATCTCATTCCTCTAATGAAAATTCTTAAGGACATTCTAATAAACTTTCAAACCTCAGTTGAATGCCTATCAAGGCAGTGGAATCCATTGGAGTATTTTGAATGAAATCCAATCGATCTTACTTCAGTACCTCTCAGTCCATTCAGTATATTTACCTTCCAATTAGTTGGGATGTGGACAACAATATGTTGATTTGCAAACTAGTCTCTAGATCATATATCTTAGATTGGATAGAGCTGAGTAAGTATGCTGGAGATAAAACTCACCTTTACAGGTGTTCTTGTAGCATATTGCCAAAATCTGTCCAATTTGGGCTGGGATGTCCCCATTAGTAAAAATGCTGCAACTAGCATAGGTATGATTAAGGTTGGTAACCTACTAAGGCCATCAGAGGTCAATATCTGGTGATGACCATGGCATATGGAAGACTGTGACATCCAATGAAAAAGGAATAAACAGTAAAGTCCATGTTGAAGGCTTTCACGGCCGGAATACAATGGCTGGTGTGGGTCTTCCGGGCTGTGTGGCCGTGTTCTGGAAGTTTTGTTTCC